ATGTATTCACCCTATTTCGTCTAAGGTGATGAAGGAATGGTAGTAGAATTTTCGTATAATTGTGGGAAAATTCTACTACCAGTTCTTCATCACTTTAGACGAAATAGGGTGAATACATCTCATTATTTCCATTGCTCGAATCGGGTTATGTAAGTTTTATTTATCTCAAAAAGTGAGTGGACCTCGTTGTCGCAACTTGGTCTTGCTGTCAAGGTGACTATGTAGAACGCACCTAGTGTAAATCAGTGTAATGAGATGTATTCACCCTATTTCGTGTAAGGTGATGAAGGACTGGTAGTAGAATTTTATCAGTCTTATGTTTTCTATAGTAATCGACAACGTTACTTATATTCGTATTAAAGTAGGGTTTCGAGACTACCAGTAAATCAGTGTGATGAGGATGTATTCACCCTATTTCGTGTAAGGTGATGAAGGACTGGTAGTAGAATTTTCCCACAATCATATGAGTATGTATTCACCCTATTTCGTGTAAGGTGATGAAGGACTGGTAGTAGAATTTTCCCACAATGATATGAGTTTTCACCCTATTTCGTGTAAGGTGATGAAGGACTGGTAGTAGAATTTTCCCACAATGATATGAGTTGAGCTGGCCCCTATTTCGTGTAAGGTGATGAAGGACTGGTAGTAGAATTTTCCCACAATGATATGAGTTGAGCTGATCCCCTATTTCGTGTAAGGTGATGAAGGACTGGTAGTAGAATTTTCCCACAATGATATGAGTTTAGCTGACGCTATTTCGTGTAAGGTGATGAAGGACTGGTAGTAGAATTTTCCCACAATGATATGAGTTGAGCTGACGTTACCATTGAATTATTTCGTGTAAGGTGATGAAGGACTGGTAGTAGAATTTTCCCACAATGATATGAGTTTAGCTGACTTTTACAATTTCGTGTAAGGTGATGAAGGACTGGTAGTAGAATTTTCCCACAATGATATGAGTTGAGCTGACGTTTCTTTCGTGTAAGGTGATGAAGGACTGGTAGTAGAATTTTCCCACAATGATATGAGTTTAGCTGACTTTTTTCGTGTAAGGTGATGAAGGACTGGTAGTAGAATTTTCCCACAATGATATGAGTTGAGCTGACGTTTTCCGTGATGAAGGACTGGTAGTAGAATTTTCCCACAATCATATGAGTTGAGCTGACGTTTCCATTCAATTTCACATAGCCTTGCTCTCTCATATCATTTTGGGAAAATTCACCTTAGACGAAATAGGGTGAATACATCTCATTACACTGATTTACTGATAATCTCGAAACCCTACTTTTATAGGAATATAAGTAAAGTTGTCGATTGCTATAGCAAACATATGTTTCCTTCATCGGCACTCCCACCAAAGAATATAATATGGCAAGATGTCTGGCCTTCCTTGAAATTCACTTATGC